AGCTTGAACTTCAATTTGCACACATTTAGAATTTATTTAATTTTTTACTTTCAAGCTAATATACAGTTGAATTTCATGTAATGCACCACAAATTCATTGAAATTATCTCTAAATTTCTCAATAACATACAAGTCCTCATCTCCACTAAATACTAATTACAGAGTCATCTTAATGCAGATCCGATATATTTCACAAAATGAATAGCTCGAAAATTAGATAACATGATATTGGATGTGAACCCAACCAGTTGATGGAGAATCAAACTTTCATCTTTTATAAATATGGAATATAGATAATTGATGTCCTTATACAACAACTGTTCTTTAACAATCTTATTTTACTATATTAAATAAAAAATATCTCCTCTGCATGACCCCTATCATGAACATGATATACGACATAATAGATAAAAACTTCTAAAAGTAGAATTATTAGTGGGGCAAAAGGAGAATCATTGGTGAACTAATTTGGCTATGGAGTGCTAAAAATGCATTTTGATTGTTATACAGCAGGGTGACCAAGCTAGTCCACTGCACCAAAAAACAAACAAAACTACTGTCCTTCCATGTTAAGCAAGACAGACTTCACAAAATGGCCCATCAAGTTTTTTATTCTTTAGCACATATCTTATAATATCAAATTTAAATGGATTAATAACTCAGTGCAATTAACAACGGCTACATATAATAGCAGTTGCCAAACAGTGGTGCCAGTGTTATAAACATTACAAAAATTGGAAAATATAAGAAAAATAGAAAAAGAGGACATTAAATGCCACTCCACCGACACTCTAACCAGCTCATGAAAAAAATATTTTTCTTTTTCTTTTTCTTTTTTATAAAAAGCACAAAAAAATAGAAAGAAAAAATAAAGTTGACCTACTTGGGCATATCAGGGTCATCCAACTCATCTCCACCATATTTGCCTCCTTGATGTTTAACCACTTGCAGCTTCTCATTTTGCTTTCTTTTCCATTCCTCCATTCTATCTTTCCAGGCAACAGTACCATAGCCATACACTGCTAAATCCTTCTTTGGATCCATCGGCCTTGGCGGCACTAACAAAATACATTACAATCTCCATAAGTCAAACTCCTAATTAACAAAATCAATTAAAAGAAAAATTAACAACAAACACTCACAAGTCATGGATGAATCCGTATACGGCACCGGGTGCACCCGTTTCCCACGACCCGCAAAAGGAGGGATAATTAGAGCATGCTTATCAGCTGAAATCGTATCATCCTTAAANATATCTTCTACCTCTTGGCCATAAGTAAGAAGAGGAATTTCAGAATTGACAGGATCCAACTCCGATTGATTGGTGATACCGGAAGCAGAACGTCCCAATCGATTGGAATAGCCTGCTTCGGAAAACTGATGTGGATCTCGCTTGTCGTGTCCGTTACCGTAATCGAACTCATTTTCGAGGTCGTCAAACTCGTCCTCGTCCTCGTCCCCGTCGACCCGCGGGCTGCCCTTGATGCGCTTGTACCTGGTCTTGCACTGCGGGCACGCCTGGTTGCCTTCCCGCCGCTCGTACTCGTAGCAAGGTCTGCAAACTGGGAAAGCGCACTCGTTGCAGGCCACGAATGGCTCGCCGTCCACGCTGAACTCGATGTCGTCGCCGCAAATCTGGCAAATCTGGCTTGTTAGCTCCTTCACCGACGTCACCTGCCAAACGGAGAATGTTGATTATTTGGTTAATTCACTTTATGGGAAATAGATCGAGAGGTTCCCTTTAACGAACCCCCATTTGGATTAAGAAGGAAATTACAGGGATGGTAGTGGGCGGAGATTTTCTAGCGGCGCTGAAATCTAGAAAAGTTGAAAACAGGAGAAACTAATAATCGGGTAAAGTAACTTGCTAAAATATGATCGATTGAAGTGGCAGAATATTTAGCTAAATCTGAGACTAAAAATTAACAATAAAATAAAATAATATAAAATCAGCTGACTTTGCCCCCAATAGCTCAAAATTTTAGCCTTAAATCTTCAAGAATACACCGAAACACTTCAAATTCAGTTTAATTCCATTAAAACAGGGGGAGAAGGAAGACTTTGAAGAAACTCACTCTTCCAATTTCATCAGCATTGATGAGTACGAACTCGTTCCTGTTATGCGAGCCAGCCACGAGCCTCCCTTTAGTGTCCATCTCACAAGTAAATTAGAATCCTTGACAATTTGGCTTTGAAAAAGGAAAATCAGAATAGAGAGATAGCATGAAGAAAGAATATCTTCAGGGCAAGGCCCATTAGCACACGCCACTGAAGAGAAATCAAGAGAAACGTAGAAGCCCTCTCTTGTGAGTCTCCGCCTCACTTGTCTCCCATTAAACAATGAAGTGAAAATGATGCATTTACAGACATCAGAAGAGATAACTATTGTATTCGGTGAGATGGAAGTGTCGGTTTTCAAATGAAGAGAAAGGGAGAGACTTTTCTGGTTTTTGATGTGTGTGTGTGTGTTTCTCTCTCTCCTGATTCTTTTCTTGAGAGAAGAGAACCCACCTGTTTATGATTATGGTATGATAATAGTAATAAGTAATAAAGCGTACTTCTCTCTCTCTATTTGTCTATTTTTTTCTCTCTCTCTCTTGTTTTCTGATATGAGCTGTGTGGTGTGGTTCAGAGAATCAAATGCTACGGGGGTCTCAACTTTGAAAATAATTGATCGCCAAAGACAAACCAACAAAACTGTGTGTTTCTTTAAAATAAAAAAATAACAAAAAAAAAAATAAAACGAGAGAGAAAAAAAGGAAATAACAAGAATAAAAAGGAAAATTATGTTAGAGAGAGAAAGTAGAAGGTACAACGCGTAAGGGACAAGAATTTAGAGCTGTGGGGCCAATCACCGGCGCCAGCGGTGGCGCTTGGAGCCCGGGGGCTTGAGGAAGGGCAGTATGGTAATTTAGTTTTTTTTAATCTTCTCCTTTTGATGAGATAAAGACAGCAAGGCACGTATTAGATTTCTTTTGACGGAAAACAACTGTTACACCTTCTCCACAATCGTATGTGTGTTTGTCTGTGAAGTAGATTAAGGTTTACATTTTAACTACTTGAGATTTACTAACTAGTAACTACTACAGTTGTATTAATCACGTTTGGACTCATTCCTGATTCCACATTCAATTAAGATATAATTCCACACTATAGTCAACTACAGCCAACTATTATTGCGAGATCTCACCAAATTATATAAATGATTGGATGAGTAAGTCTAATTGTATGGAGAATTGAACTGTCTACTATTTTTAAATTTCAAATTTTATTTATATTTTTTAAATGATATTTTATTTTAAAAGTATATATATATATATATATATATATATATATATATATATATATATATATATATATATATATATATATATATATATATATATATATATATATATATATATATATATATATATATATATATATATATATATATATATATATATATATATATATATATATATATATATATATATATATATATATATATATATATATATATATATATATATATATATATATATATATATATATATATATATATATATATATATATATATATATATATATATATATATATATATATATATATATATATATATATATATATATATATATGGGCGGATCAAATGAGTCAGCTCTTAAAATGCGCCCAGCTCTTAAAATGCGGACAGCTCTTATCAACTACAGACAACTAATCTACAAACTATAGAGAACTAACCTAGCAACTACAGAGAACTAACATAGCAACTACAGATAACTAACCTAGCTACTACTAACCTAGCAATTACAGAGAACTAACCTAGCAACTTAGCAACTACAGAGAACTCAACTACTAACTTAGCAACTACAGAGAACTAACCTAGCAACTAATAACCTAGCAACTACAAAGAACTAACCTAGCAACTTCAGAGAACTAACCTAACAACTACAGACAACTAACCTAGCAACTAGAGAGAACTAACCTAGCAACTACATAGAACTAACCTAGTTGGAAGGTTAGTTGTCAACGGTCAACACCAGAAGCATGGACGTGTCTATCTTTGGTCTGGGCTGGGCTTCAACCCAGGCCTATTATTTTTTTGTCTTTAACAACTATTAATTTGAAAAAAAAAAATTGTACTTCTAGCCTAGCCTAATAAACTAATTTACTAACCCACCAAAATAATTCACTATCTTGTAAGTCCACCTACTACTAACACCACTCTACCAAACTCCAATCAAATAAATTACTTACTGCCATGCCCTTCCTCTAACACCAAAACAATAAATTTAGAAGAAAAAAAATATTCAACAAGAAAGTAGCACAATAAACTTAGAAGAAAAAAAATATTCAACAAGAAAGTGCTAATTTTACGAAGACGATTTAATTTCTTCTTTAATAGTAAGCTATATTTTTAAACGCCCTATTAGATATTTATTTTATTCTAGTTGTCTTTGCCTATCTTTTCATTTTGATTGAATTATTTAGGGTTTTAATAGTTATTGTTAGGATCTTTGTTTCAATTCTTGTTTTGTTGATTGTGTATGAAGTAGTAATTGTGTGTGTGTGTGTGTATTTTAATCCCTTATCCTCTAGTGTGGTTGTTGTATATCATAATTATATATAAATTTGTGATGTGTGGGCATTTTATTTTGCTAATAACTATGTAATATGAAAAATCTATTTATTTGTATTGTGGAATTTTAAATTCACATGGAGCACCAACCTTCGGCCAAAAAAAGAAAAACCTCGATGATATCATAATTCTTTAGAAAACGGGATCGACGTCAAAACTAGTGAAAGCACATGAAATACGGTATAAAATGAGCATAAACAAGCTCGTCGAACACAATTAATGAATATTTGAAAAAAAAATATTATGTTATTTTTTGTGAAAAATGAGTTTTTAAAATTGTAGCTCAGTCTACTCTTAATTTCTAGATCCGTCCCTGGCCAAAAGTCAACGGTCAATGCCGAAAGTCAATAGTTTTCACCGGAAGTCAACGCCGGAAGTCAACGGTCAACGCCAGAGTCAACGGGTCAAAATAATATTTAAATAATTAAAATAATAAAAAGAAAAGAGTAAATCTTGGCCACACATGATGTACCAAATCTTTTGGCTAAAAATGAGTCTTACGTCCTCACTTCAAATAAGTGAATTCATTGGAACCAATCCATATATATATATATATATATATATATATATATATAATATCTAACCATTTAATATGCCGTAGTTGCCTACTACCAGAAGTTAATTACAGTTTCCCTAAATATGAGCAACCAAATAACTAAGATAGTAACCAAAAATTCACTCGAATGATGAATGGTAGAGACCAAATAGAAAATTATTTTAGAGTTTTTATCATCTAAATTTTCCAAACCAGTGCATTCTAATATGGAGTAAATAGAAAGGACATTTAGAAAGTTTCCGACTACAGCCAATAAAATTAAAGGCCCCTAAAGGTCAAAATCCAGATAAACCAAACATTTTAGGTACGTACGTACTTCAAATTTACGAGTTCTATAATGGTGAAACTGAATTTCCAGGGTAAAAAAAGTGCAGCAGTAGTAAGGTTTACTGAGTCACTGTTTTAGTGCACTTTACTTTTATAACAAAAGAAAATGGTAAAATATTGTTGCACGTGAGACTCGCTATAAATTTTCGGACAGGTTTCAAGTATTAATCATTTTGCAATGAAAATTTAATTTGCACACTTATATTGGTTAGATTACAGAGGTTAAATTAAATTTGCTTTTTCTAGCAAAGTACTAAATTGTTGTTAGTCCCATCATCGCGTATTCTTTTTCGTTTTCAACAACCTTATTTAGGCAAATTAATCTGCCGTTCACTGTTCTTCTCCGGTACAAGACTTCCCTTTGAAAGGTAAATTCAGCCCACTTATTGTAACTGGAAATGAAATATAAAAATTACAAAATCCAACCTGTTAGAATTGAGACAGAATCATAGAAGGCTGCAGGTTCAGTAAATTGCTTCAAGCATCAGCCAAAGAGACCCATGAAAAGGTGCACTTGTCATGATGAGCACTGGTTTATTTTCGGTATTTTTTAGAGAGAAATTAATATTTATTTCATGTATATTAATTTATATAAGAATTGTGTTTTAATTTTGTTATTGTTTCAATTTGGAAATTCAAATTTGGTATTCTTTTATCATGTGCATGTTTCATTGAATGTAACATTCTTATATAATGTAAAAAATATATATATATATATAGCCGAGTTGAGAACCATCCATGTATTATTATATATCACACCAAATTTGGTTTATAGAAATGCCACATTTTTACATACATAATGTGGTAACGTTGTTAAAATATTTTATCCCCTTATTTTATTTTTCAAATTTACTCGAAAAGAACAAAAATGGTTCAAATTCGACCTCTCAATTATCGAGGTATAATTCTACTTGTACATAATAATTCATATATAATGTGCACTCTCGCAAGAATATAGTGCACTTCAATATTTTATTTAGATAATTTCGCCGAGTATGTGTAGTATGTACAAATTTATTATGTACCTGTATCAATACCAACTAGCACGTAGCCCGTGCGATGCACGGGACATAAGTATTAATGAATTATTTCCACAGAATTTGTCCGTTAAGTAGCACGTGCGATTCACGGAAGATATTAAATGAGTGGACCATAGGGCTTATCCGTTCAGGCCTAAAAAATAATAGAGTTTGATCATCTATCTTTTTACATCTTTTCATCAACGTCATTTTTTTTGTCGGAACATTAAACCTGAGTCTGGTAGCGCTAGCCCGTAAATTAATTAATATATTATCTCGTTCACATGTTTATAATAATACAAATTTGATTTCATTATATATATTTATTTATTGATATAAGAAAAATAACAATTTTACGTAATTGTTCGTCGTATATTACTTATATTATTTCATTATAAAATTTATTGTAGTATAATGTCATTATTATTATAAGTTATAGATGTAATCTTCTTCTTCTTTTTGTTTTATGTAATTAAAATATTTAAAGTATGTTCATATTATTTATTAATGTAATTAATTTAAATTATGTAAATAAATTTAAAGTAAAACATTTTGTACAAACATTTTACAAAATATACACAAATGTTTTTTTAGAATTTATTTTTTTTACAATAAATAACAGCTTTGAAATTCTATGCAATTATTAAAACCGATTAAATCTGCTTTATTAAAACCGATTAAATATTTATTTATAGGCTTGACATTAAAACCGATTTTAAGAGATTATTTTAACTAAATCGATGTTATGGAATAAAACAAATCTATACTTAGATTTGACTTTTCCAGCAAAGGTAAAAAATCGGTTCTGATTTATCCCATAACAAATCTTTAATGTCAAGCTATAAATACCAAAACAAATCTGTAATTAATGTCATTCTATTTCCAGCAAACATTAATTACTTTTGACTTTTATTTATACTAAATCTGGTAAATGGGATACCTTTTAATATAAGTATAGATTATCGATAAATATGTAATTCTATTAATCAAAGCGTATTAATTTCGATATATTAATATATTTTAGAGCTTTTCTGTTTCCATCTTCAGGTAGATACATCAAGTATTGTGATTTTTGGTATACTAGTCAATGATTTTCTAAGCCTGGAGTTTGACTTAAGAAT